ATATATATATATATATATATATATTAGGTCTTGTATGGCTTTGTGTTTGCTCTTTTGCAGTATATCATTTCCAGACTATTACAATTAATTAAATTTCTGCTAATAAACAATGACATGAATATTATGATTTAACTTAGATTCTGACTTATGTCTAAAAGTAACATGTATTTGTTAATAGTCTACGATTTAAACTGTTGTAGACTTAACTGTAAAAACCTTTCCTAAATGTGAAATCAATGTTATGTAATGTTAGGTTTGACTTTTTAAACAAAAAACCTCTTCATATGAAAGTTTATTTTCCTTGTTTGAAAGTTAATTTGATTTAAATTCAGGATTGTTAAAATTTCATGTAATTTATGTTTAATTTGATGATGAACATTACATGTAATAGTTTTTAATATCCTTTGTACCTTCCTTTTCTTTTCATAGAAATAAATGATCAGAAATATTAACATTCTTCATAAATGGTGTATGAACAGGTAGAACCTGTCACCATTTTATTATAGCCTATATGTAGAGTATTTATTATAAAAAATATCCCATATTCAAATATTTTGTAATTGTTGATGGTGATATTCTCTTCCTTAGTTAATGGTGTTACATTTTCAGGTCTAACGGCTCTCCATGTACGAAGGGGAAGCGAATCTGCTCTTAATTGTCTTTTACCAATTTCTACCAATCTTGATCCAAGTAAAAGGTGGTCTGCAGCAGTTATCATAGACAATGATCCATGTGGGACATCAAAATTGTCTTCAGTATGTATACTGTCCTGATATTGATATGTCATGTCTTGTAATTTATTGTTTTCAACCTGCAAATTTTTATTAACTTTTATATGTTTTAGCTAAATGTCAAGACTATGTCAAACCTTAGACATTTGAATTTTTCTTTTCTCTAGGTGACTAATGAGAAATTTTGGTTTCCATCAGGCTAATACTAACTGTCATCCTCAACTAGAACCTAATATTGGTTTAAAACTGTTATAGGTATCCAACCTATTGGATTTCCCCTTAATGATCAGGAGACAAACTACTGCTCAGTGGCTCAGTAAGCTTCATGTGAAAGTTGGTTAAAAGCAGATGAATGGAGGAAAATCAAACACAGTATCTTTCTAATCAAACAAAACATTATTTACAGTGAATAAAATCAGTTGGAAGTTAAAATAAGCAAACAGAACAATACTTTTTATGTTACTGAAAATGATAACTATAAGCATTAAGAGTAAACATCTTATTAACATTTTGTCATGATCTTGATGTCATAACTGGAGTTATGACATAAAACATGTTTTAAATGGTTTGGAACTAATCAACCAAGAAAACCATTGAGCCAGTGGAATTCAAATGTATGGACCAATGAAATATATGCATAGTATTAAAGTCTTGGGAACATTATGTAAAATAATGCATGCTGCATTAGAGAAACAATATAGAAAATAAAAACCTTTACACATGATTTCACACTGGCTAATCCATTTCAGAATACTCTGATGTCATAAATTGTGCTTGTTTGTTTTTTCCTTCAAAATTTTAAAGGACATTACACACACCCCAAATGCAAAACAAATTTTATTTATTAAACAACTTTCTGGGGTTATCTATTAACACATTGCAGATGGGTCATGAGTTTACTCATGTTTCATGCAGAGTGTCTTTGTGTGCCATTTATTAAAATGTTGCATTCGAAAGGAGTCAGACACATTTGATTTTTTTGTTCCAGATGGTTATTATTTTTCTGATTTTTGCGTACAATACTCGTATTTTTACAAATGGCTTCTCACAGAAAACGTAACATGTTGAGTGAAGATGAGATAATTACTGAACTATTTGATGATAATTTGTTAGATCTTCTAAGTGAATGTGAAGATTCTGATGTGGATGTGTTTGTGTATCATTCTGACAATGATTCTAGCTACAGGGACACTGTTAGACCTACAAAGATACATAAAGTTGTTGTGCTCTCAACTGATTCTGAATCAGAAAGTGATGATGATTCTACAAATGTTCCTGTTAGTGATTTGTTTTCTCATTGTGATAATGATAATTTGTCAGATCTTGTCAGATCAAGTGAAGGTGAAGATTCTGATGTGGATGTGTTTGTGGATCATTCTGACAGTGACTCTAGCTCCAGTGACATTGATAGTCCTACAAAGATACGTAAAGTTATTGTACTCTCAACTGATTCTGAATCAGAAAGTGATGATGACTCTACAAATGTTCCTGTTAGTGATTTGTTTTCTCGGTGTGATAATGATTAATTTTTCAGAAATAGATATTTAACCGAATTTGGAAATGTTTGAAGGAAATCCAGGGGGTCACTATAACTCCATCCGAACCCGAAAGTATTGCTGCCGTGACAAGTCTAATGTTTGGTGATGACTTGTTTGAAATGTTTTGTCAGGAAATGTGTATTTACCATAATCAAACTGCAGAGAAACATAAAATGTCATCTAAAGGACTTCAATGGTCTGAAGTTACACCTACAGACATGGGAAAATTCCTAGGCCTTATTCTACTAATGGGACAGACAAGGAAATATAACTGGAAAGATTATTGGTCAACAGAATCTCTTTTGTTTAGCCCAGTATTTTCATAGGCAATGAGCTGAAACAGATTTGAACAAATTTGGACATTTTGGCATTTCAATGATAATCAGAAAATGGATGAGTCTTCAGGCAGGCTCTTCAAAATTTAACCAGTTCTGGATTATTTTCTCACTAAATTCAGGACACTTTACAAACCAAAGCAACATTTGTCATTGGATGAGGGCACCGTTCCATGGAGAGGACGTCTAAGATTCCGAACATACAAATATTGTAAAATATGGCTTGCTGGTGAGAATGGTGTGTGAGAGTGACACAGGTTATATTTGCAACATGTAGGTTGATACTGGTGAGAGGAAGAAATTGGAGGAGACTATTCTTTCAGTTCTTGCTCCCAATCTTGGATTGTGGCACCACATATACCAGGACAAATATTACAACAGTACTTCCATTGCAAGCCTATTCCTAGAACATAAAACAAGAGTCTGCAGAACAATCAGAGTGAATAGAGAGTTGCCGCCAAGCCTGAAGGCTGAAGTTTCAGCAATGAAAAAAGGTGAAACAACTTTCCATAGAAAGAGTGATGTTATAATTTTCATATGGAAAGACAAGAGAGAAGTGAGAATGGTTTCAACCATCCATGACTCATCTGTTTCTACCACAGGAAAGAAAAATAGAATAACTGGAGAAGAAATAAATAAAAAACCTGTGTGTGTTCTCCAATACAATGCCGACGTGAAAGGTGTTGATGGTGCAAATCAGTACCTCTCATACTACACTATTCTCGGAAAAACAGTGAAAGGGACAAAAAAGGTAGTACTTTATCTAATAAAATGTGGCCTTTTAAATTCATATATCATCTACAAAGCCCTGAATCAACAGGGAAAAAAAATATATATATGGAGACTGTCTCGCGACATGAAGCAGTATATTCCTGTGTTCATTTCATCTACAGGAAAAAAGAAATTTCCTACCAGAGCCTGCAGAGTTTTACTGCCCATGGGAAAAGAAGTGAAACGCTATACATATACAAGTTTTGTGAGGTTCCACTCCGTATAGGAAAATGTTTTACAAGATACCACACTTTAAAAATTGACTAGATATCTTCACGTACATACTCTGCAAGTTTCAATTAAATAATAAATAATGTAGTTGAGTTATGAACAAAATATGACGTGTCTGACTCCTTTCAAACTCAACGTTTAATAAATGGCACACAAAGACGCTCTGCACGAAACACTAGAAAACTCGTAACCCGTCCGCAATGTGTTAATATTTGAACCATGTAATAAGTGTTACTACAAAAAACATTCTTCATTTCTAGATTAATACCATACCATCCAATATAACTTTCACACATGAAATAAATGTTTTTTGTCTAATAGTTTCATGATTTTCATAAAACATTGCCACTGGTTCATGCATGATTTTGTGATGCCTTTATAGAGTGATGATCTGGATCATTCTGTTAAGGTTTTGCCTGCCGCTGAAGCTGGACAAGAAGACCTTGGTTTTACAAGAGTCAGTCAGGGAACAAGAAGAATGTCCATCTTGGGCAGTGGTTCCAACGTCCTGTCTTGGGAAGAAGCAGCAGACAGGCAACTGCTTAGAGTATGTAAAAATTTGATAGATTCCTTTTGCAGCTGGATTTGTTTACAGTAAATTTCACATGAAAAGGTGACAATATAATATGCGGAACTATAGTACTCAAGATATTGTTTTGTTTTTATCTAGTTTATTCTAAGATACTAAGTTAACAGTGGGATGATGTCGAAAATGTGGCTTAGGATCTACATGTTTTGACTGAGTTCATGGAGGTCCTTTGTGTTTCTAAGCATTTACGGCCTTAATAATAATAATCATGTATAATTATTTAAATATGTCATTACAAACACTTGTATCTTGGCAATCTTAACATTCTTGAAAGTGAGATTTGAAGAATTCATTTTAAGCACTTACAGTAAAATTGTGGTGATCAGGTATAAATCATTGTCATGGCCGAGTCTGGTACCAGCCTTTTCCAGTTGAGGTGGGCCAGATAGAACATTGGGGTGGCTTTGCCATTAAGATGTATAGATCACCAGTGTGTTGGACATACTGGTTGGGGTGGCTATAGTCTCCCCCCAAAGCACCCATTTAGCACCACTTCTGGTCATGGTTAGTAGTCTATATGATCACTTCAATCTAATTATTTGGTTTTTTTTATTAATAGATACAAATTACTAACTAGTTATATTCTATAGAAAAATATAATGATTACCACTGTAAAGAATTGGGTGTTTCAATCTTTGTGTTTTCAGATTCAGGATACCAGAAAAGAACCACTTGGTGGGTCAGGTACACCATCTGATCAGTCAAGAGACAGAGATAGTGAATCTTCAGGTGTCGGTGATTACAGGTTGGGTTAAATTTCATATATGTATTACTTAATATGATTGGATAACACAAGAAAACTTTCTTTTTCATAAATGTTGAAGCTGTATGCTGAAAATATTTACCATTTTTTAAATACAACTAAAATTTAAAATATATTGTGACTGAAATAATTTCATTTTATAATTCTTACAAACAAATTCTCATTAAACATATGCATTAATTAAACTTAAACTATGAAAAATTAATCTTATGATGATAAAAAAGTATTTATATATTTTAAAACCTTTTAATAGAGAGCGTACCAATTTTAACTTTTCGTTACTTTCATTTTAACTAATGATTAACCTCAATTATAACAGAAAAAGTAGCATTTGTTAAACTTTACTTGATATGTGAATTTGCCTTTTCTGAGTGTCATGTACAGAAATGTTCACAGAATTTAACAGTATTCCTACACCAGTTATGAATTGATCACTATTATTATTATTATTAATAGTTTGTGTAAACATTTTTAACTTCAAAAAGTTATCCTAAGCTGGTGACTTTGATTTTCATTGTGTTTTACTCATGAATCTAAAATCATTTTATTCAAACATGATGACTTTTAACCATCTTGCTAAACAGTCTGTTGATTATAATATATGTATTGGAAATTTATTTTGAGTAGATTTTCCTGTATTTAATAGTTTTTCTGTGTGTGTGTGTGTAATAATATTATTACATTGATCATGTTATGCAACGTTATTAACTAGTGTAGCTCTCCTTTATCATGAACTGTTGTTATACTAATATCCTTTTGGTGAATTAGAGATTCAATGACTTACAATATGAAACACTATGACTCGCATTTGAGAAGGTTTCACTAATTAAAATTACACTAAACTTTGGTGCATATATTCTCAGCTAATTATTCAAATAAATTTATTTGGACTTGTAAAAGATCTAGTGGTTTGAAGATTAATTCAATCTTTAGCAATAGAAATGGTGATACAATCATTTTTAATCTATAATAATAAAAGAGTCTTTCTGTGTGTGTGTGTGCGACTGCCATAGCTGCAAGAGGAAAGAACCTAGAGACCTGAAACTTTACACACATACTAAGGTGATTCTGTGGGTATGCGCCTGGGTATTATTTTGCCCTTAAGCCCCATAATTCTGCTTCCTGAAGGTCTATAGAAAAGTATCATATTTCTTTCTAATTCTCACTTACAGAAGGAAAAACGTGTGGAGGTTTTCTGCCAAATACTGTTGAAAAGGAACAAAATGGTAAAGAAAATTGGGAAAAAATGAACATATTTTACCAAAATTGAACAAAATTCAATAGGGTATGGGGCCAAACATTTCTTAGTCAGTCAAATGCAACACGGAGGGAAACAAAGGCATCAGGACCACCCATGAAACAGACCCCTAGAATACTAGAAAAGGTATAAACAAATAAAGTTTGGGAAATAGGGAACAGACAACGGGAAGAAAAATATGAATCACAGAATATTGGAGAATTCAGAGAAGGAAAAGAATACAAATAAAAACACAGGAAGAAAAAAAAATGAAACTGAGAAGCTAAATTAAAGCTATTTGCTTTTAAAAAGAGTTGAATTGAATGTTCAGGAAATGGCAACAGACAAATCAGTTAAAGAATTTGTGCATTGGGGTAGCTATAGAAGTAATTAAGATAATGGAGATGCTTGACTGGTACATTGAGGCCTCTGTGAATCATGAGGGGACCTTAGAATCCTGCAGCAGAGCATGGGTATTTTATGCTAGTATGTTATAAAACATAGCATTCACTGTTTTTGTTTTATAAGCTCTACAATACATACATGTGTAAAATCAAATCAATAGGACTTTAGGATTATTTTAATATTAGCTTAGTTATTTACAGTAATGGAAATAGTAATGGAAACACAAGTGATATGTGTACAGAAGTTGCAAACAACAAGCAGTGACAACTATATGGTGCAAACCCTTAAAGAAAATACAAAACAAAACTGAGTAAGATACACAATACACTAGTATTTTGAATGCAAGTCCTTTGATTTGTATAAAGCATTACACCTTGTTTCAATGTTGTCATACTGTTTATCAATAACCTTCTATATCAGGACTTTGAACATGTCAAGCCATAGTTATAAGTATTCCTTTGGTCTCTTTACTGTAAAGATGTTATTTAAGTATGTTTGCTGTATGCTTGTGGTCACTGTCTTGCTCAAAGATGAATTTCCTGTCAGTGATAGTGTGGACTACCCTACATATTTTTGTCACACATTACCTTCATCTGGCCATCTATTCTTCTTCGGGATATTAACTTCCTCCTGTCACCATTTTACATACACCTTACCGACTCTGACTGGCCAAGTTTTAGGTGGCGTTTTAGGTCTGAAATGTTCACAAATGAGATGGGATGGTCCATAAAATTGCTAGAGGTTTTCTTGCAGTATATTATTTACTAAACAAGGCCCAATCCAGACTCTACCTACTCCTGGATTATCATGAATAAAGCAGTGTCGGGATTGCTGCCCATCCCTCTGGTCCTAGTTACATATACCTGAACTGACTTGCTTTTGAAAATAATGTTTCGTGGTCAACCAATGCACAGTCTTATAGTGTTGCATTCTTCTGGGGTTCCCAATGCACTTTACCCCCCCCCCCCTCTTCTAGTAGATTATGGGAGTCCTTGTCACTCACCAGTTCCTAACTCCTGGGGTGGTGGACCATGGAAGCTTCCTACTGAGTGTGACCAATTCCAATCAGTAGAGAGTAGGGCAGTGGTGTTCTTTTAGTGTAGATGGTGTGAATATTTCTCCTACAGCAGAATGGACAAAACATTACAGATGCCACCTGGATTTGGACTGGAGATGATCCACCACATACAGTTTACTGCTCTGGCTGGCTTTCTTCTATTTTACCACTGCCTGGAATTCAATTTCCGGGTGGTCTAGTGATGGACCAGTGCTGGACCAGCCAGCATAAGTTCTCACTGATGTGGTTCATCGAGACCTGGCCCCTATTGTTGACTGGACAAAAAATTCCCAGTGCTGCTTGGTTTTGGACTGAGGTTGAGTTACCATATTTGCTTTCCCCATTCTACTACTGCCTGGATATTGGGTTCCTGGGTGGCCTGGTGTTGGATGTGCCCAGGGTTTCGCACATCAGCAATACCTAGGATGCTGGAACAGAAGTTCATTTTCCCATTTGCTTCCTGGTATGGGGGTGAAGATGGTTGGGAGCCTCCTCCTACCACAGAATGGATGAAACATACCCAATGCCACCTGATTTTGGACTGTAGTTGACTCGCCATATACAGTATGATGTGCCCTAGCCACACTACACCATAAAGCACATTCATTTTCCATACTGTGTTTCTGGACTTGCTTCTTTTCTTGGTGACACATTTCTTCACTACATGTGAAAAGTACTCTGGTAAAAAGGGATACAATCTACCACAGGTGTGCCTCTATATTTTCATGGTATAGGGATGTCATGCTCCATGGGTTCTCTTCAGGTGCTTTCTGAAGGGGGCTCATCTAAGTAACTTTTGCACTTGGCCCTCCAGCACTTCAGTGTAGGATTCAGGTATATATGCGAGATGAGGTAAGGTATCATATTGAAAGTTAACATTTTCCAACATTGAAATGAAAATGTATTTGTGATAGATACTTATCTGTCTTCACACTCCTCCTGTCTTCCCCACTTCTGGTGCATCTTTTCTTGCCTAATTTTGAAGTGATGATTGAACAATCACTATAAAAGAATTCAGCTGCTCTAGGAAGGTGTGTCGTACTCCTATTGGTGGAAGGTTGTCGTGTACTCATTTGCATGCTACAGTGTTGTAATACCATGTGAAAACATGTGGATTTAGGTTGGAGCCTCAAGGCTAGTGCCAAGCAAAAAAAATTGTGCATCTTAAGGTCAGCACGAAATTGGGGAAAGCTAATATGTGAGAGGAGATAAATATCTATCAGAAATAAATTTTCTATGTTGGAAAACATTTTAACCAGTCATACTCTCAATAAGCAATTTTAGTATTTTGTGCCGGAATTTACTTTCTGAAGGATGTCTAGCACCAGTTCACTCTGGTTTAAATAGGTCTGAATTTTCCTGTTACAAAAAAACCATCATAGGAGAAATGTTTACAGCTTCAATTGTAGTTTTTGCATAAAATGTTTTTCCTGTTACAAAAAAAACAAACATCATAGGTGTAACGAATTTGTTGTCATGTGTTTAATTTTAATATGAACGTTGTTTAGATTAAATTTGTATTTAAAGATATGCGTAACTTATAGTGTCATATATGTATTGCGTATAACGAATTTGTTATTATATATTTATTTTAATGACAACGTTTGTTTGGAATGAGTTTATATTTAAAAACATACCTAGCTTACAGTGTTAGTTACATATGGCAATACTCCCACCAATTCTCCGAGATTGTAGAATATTCGTGAATGCAAGAATCGACAATATATCCACTTCCGTAATTGGTTAAATATAGTTCAGTATTGTTGTCCTTCTAGTGCCTATAAAAGGCAACACGGCAAAAAAAAAAAAAGAGAGAGCTTACAAGTCTGCTAGGAACCTGTTATTAACGTGTATGCTATAAACCATTATTTTGCTAACCCTTATCAACCGGAAAATATAAGACATTTGACCATAAACAGTTATAAATTTCGAATGTCAGTGGATTCTCATCAGACGTTAATATCTTTCTGAAAGTATTACTGAATTCTCATAGGACATTAGTGGTTTTATGAAAATATTATCTTACTTCGATGGTCAAACAATTCAGTGCCTGACAAAGCTAGCTAGCTTCTCGGCAATTGTACGTACCTCGACTTCAAGTTAACTCACTGGATATCAAGGAGACTCTGAACTAGAATAAAGATTCTATGTTGTTTGTAATTTAGTGAAATTGTTGTTTATAAAACTTTGTTTGTGGTAATCATTCATAATAATTGTTGTTGTAAATTGTAGTGTTGTATATATATATTAAAACGTATTTGTGTGAAAACGAAGACTGTGTGTGTCAATCTTGTTGAAAAATGGTGTAAATTAACTAAAACATCGGCTTTGGACTATTTCAAATTCACAATACGTAACATAATAAATTGTTTACAGCTTCAACTGCAGTTTTTGCATAAAATGATAAATGTGGGAAATATAAAGTAGGAGTGAGAAATTGATGCATTTCTTTGTGTTTTTTTTTTTCAGATGTTAAAAGCAAATAATGTAAAATGCAGAAAATAGATTATGGCTGAACTAGCATCTTTCAGTTAAAATTGAAAAACGTTTAGGTTAAGATGTTTAATAGATCATAATGAATAATGATGAAATAATCAGATGTGAATATTAAATACTTAAACTATAAAAAAAAACTTACATGAACTATTGAATAAATATTGCTTTGGAATAATGTTTTTATAAATTATTTGTTGCAAATTTTCATCTTTTAAACTCTCTCACTCTTTTTTTATTTATTTTTTACAGAGAAAATCCAGTTACCTTAAAGAATGTATCTGGTCCTTTAGGCATTCATGTCATTCCAGACTATGATTCCAACGGAAGGTAGAGTAGGTTGCTTATTCAATAACTTTCACAATATTATCTTAAAAGATTAATGCATTCACTAATTTTATAGTAAATCTTAAGAAAAAGAAAGATATTAAGCCTACTGCAATGGGTATCTATTACTGCGCATGACACAAGGTTTTAGTGTTAGTGTCTTACATTCAAAATGTTATTAAACTATTTACTATATTATACCAATTAGTATAGCATACAATGTTAGCTAATAATCCATATTTTAATAGTATATACGTTTTAAGTTCTTAATTCTACAAGGCAATATTTCAAAAAATCCTGAATTTCCTCTAGTGTGACAAATGTGACACATTTATCTTTGGGCATCATTTTTTCTCTATTTTATCCACCACTCCTCCAGAAAGTATGAAATAAAACGCAAATTACTCATATAAAATCATCATTGTTCAGACAAACCATAACTTTTATAGCCTTCAATTTTGTTTGTTTACAGAGCTATCGAATAGAAAATCAGACCTCTCCTGCCACACCCACCTGTCACATCCTCTCTTTCAGGATTTGTTAATAGCTCTCTCTTACTTTTTTATGATATATTGCCTATAACCAATAGAAAGCGATGTATTGAATAATATTGTGTTCTGAACAGATAATCATCAGTTTCACTCATAGTACAAGCTCAGTTCCCATGGGAAAGCTAACAACTAGCTTGAAGGAATTTGTAACGGCTCTTATCCCATAGCTAGTCTATGTTCTTTGATTCATTATTTAATTAAATAAAAATTATTTAGTGGATTACTACCATTAGTATAAAAAAATAAGTAGGGTTAAGTGTCATCGACAGTCGACAACAAGAAGAAAAGAAGATTGGGTAAGTACTTTATTTCTTGTTTTTCGTGTTTATTCTTTAATTATTATTATTATTATAAAAGTAACTAAAATGTAAAAAATAGGGATATTTTTATGTTAGTTAAGATTAAATTAGATAAAATAAATGTCTTCAGATATGATCTACAGCTAGGCATATCATAAAGTACAAATACAAAAGATGCGCGGGTTTAATGTTAAGATTTAATGTGACAACATCCCTTTACATTTTGTCTTTGTACTTTACATTTATATATGTATGTATGTATATATTTATGTATAAAAACCATGTACACTCAGCTGTAGATTGTATCTGAAGAAGACAGACAAATGTTCTGTTGAAATGTATAGTATGTTTCCCCAAAATACAACCACTTTATTATTCTTATTAATCACTTTTTGTAAATCTACTATCCATGGTCTGATTAATGACATTTATACTCTAAATTGGAACAAAAGCAGGATTTTATTTGTTACGTCTATTGTGTGGCATAAATTACGTTCATAAATTATAAACTTTTGTAGAAATATGGGGCTAGTTGTGCATGGTGTTGAACCTGGTGGCAGAGTTGACCAGGATGGACGGCTTCATGTTGGAGATCGTATCATTGACATCAATGGGCAAAGTTTACTTCATGTTAGCTTCCGAAAAGCTCAGGAAATATTTAAAGATGCATTAAGAGAACCAGAACTTAGGATACGCTTTGCCAAGAATTCATTGTATACAGGCTCTGTTCAAAAACCTAAAAAGCCTCCTCCCCCTGTTTATCCAAAACCCCTGGTCTCGAAAGAGAGACCAAAAGATGAAAGTGAAAGAGCAGACTTGGTGGAAGAACTAGAAAAAGGTTTGTTTGTTAACTGTAATTTATTAAAACATATTTTTATACTAGTCAACCTAAATTATATCATTGAACACCTTCAGACCTGCTCTTTCCTTTATAATAACTTATTGTAACAGCTAAATATGAAATAATGTTATCATTTTAAAGTTAAGATGTATACATTCCTTTATTTTTAAATCTGTAATGAACTGTTGAAACAAATATGATAGAAAATAACTTGTGTAAAAGATAGTAGTTTGTCACATGCAATAAGCTTAAATGTTATCACTTTTACACATGCAAAAATTTAGAATTTTATATATTTTATTTCCAATATGTCCTGTGTGTAAATTAAAAAAACATTTGTTGTATATGCATTTCTAATTTACTCAACCACATTCATTGATAATTTTTACAGATTAAAAAATGTTTTTTTTTGTATGTAGTAACACATTTAGAACATAGCTACTTGTAAATGTGACTTTAGTGAACTCCTGAGTTTAAGCATTACATATCATTTTTTAATCAATGGATATCTATATGCTGCTGGGAAGGATAAGTAGAAACATGTTCATATAATGTTCATGGTTTTTCTTTATTAATAAAGAAAATGAATCTGTAATGTGATATGCATGAAAACCAAATTTAAAGGGCAAGTAATGGGAAATAGAAGCCACATGAAGCCTATTCTGGCACTCACTAGAATTTCTGAAACAAGAAATTTGCTCATCTTAATTTAAAAGAAAAAAGTACATTCACATAAACTATCATAAATAAATTATGTATTTATACATAAAGTGTAAATAAAATAAGCAATAAAACTGTTAAACTGTACAACTGCCTTATTCCAAACACTAAATAGAAGGTTATTTGTTGGAAGATTTTAGGAGCAACATCTTTAGAAGATAAGTGCAAATTTATCACAATACAGGGTAAAGCATGTGGTTTGTAATACAAATAATAATAAAAAAAACCTTGAATTTGCTCTCCTTGTACAGATAGATTTCACTATTTAATGCAAGGAATTAGTTCTTGTAACTTATTTTTCTAACCAGATTTGTGGAAAACTTGTCAGTGTATTATCAAGTACCAAAGTTACTGTAATGCACAGTTTAGTTAAGAGAATGTTTTGGAACTCGTGTGTGTAGGTGGCAGTTCTGATTTGTGAGGTAAGGCACAAATAAGATATTTCATAGTTACATGACATAAACATCTTGTTCAATCCTTATATTACATCCATACAAACATTAAGTCAATATTTTCATTGAGGGAGCTAGAAGATTTCAAAAATCAAACAAAACTCTTTCTGATTTGTCTACTATAACATTTATTACAGTTGGAAACATTCTTTCACGGATTACAGCAAATAACTTTCTAGGTATTGTTTACAATTATTTAGGTATGTGTACATGTCTTGCCATAATGATATTGTAATGGCGGTTATACTGCTACGTGACTTCTCTTCTAAAAACTTGGTGATATCCAAGGAAATCTGATTTGTGTATTTGCTGTGCTTGGAAATGTGTTTTAACTATTTTGTGGAATCCAGTATAAACACAATATCTTAAAAAGTTATTCTATTCTGATAAGAGTTAGCATACAGATCACGCAATGAATTTCCAAACAAAAAACAAAAGAAACTTGAGCACTTTCAAATAGTAGACTATTTTTCTTCAGGAGGATAAAGAAACACAGTAAACTATTTAAAAGCTCTTGAATTTTTTTTTTTTTAAATGCTTGAAATGTTATTGTATTAATAAGAAACTGGACTTTGAAACCATACATTTATTAGTCAACCAATATGTTTCAAAACTGATCCTTTATTTAATATCTAAAACTGATACTTTTTTTCTTGAGAAATTTAGTAAGTATTACACTTACTTTTAATGTTTGTAATGGTAGTGAAAACAGCACATCTCTGACCATATTTTTCATTGTCCTCTATTATAAGGTTCAAATTCAAAGGTTGCCACAATAACATCAACAAAAAATACTCCTTTATCTGTGCCATTGAATCAAAAGAATATTTCTCTCACCTCAAACACAAGGAAGATTGGACAGAAAATTTTGATACAGCTGACAAAAGGTAAAGCTTCTTTTTGAGTATCAAGTGTTTAGCAAACAGTGATGTAATAAAATGCTAAATTTGTAAAACATGATTATAAAGAATAATCAGTAAATATTTACATTACAAAACAAAACTAGTATGTTTTAAAACTATAGTAAAAAAACGTTTACAGAATAATAGTATTTGATGACGAGGAACCCACTTTGAGTCTAATAATGCTTGGAGTTGGCTTGAATGGGTAATGAAGAAAAACTTTAATATAAGTTTAACATAACAGCAAATGTACGTTTCGACATGATACCTGATGATGACAAAACCTTGTCGAAACGTTGTACATTTGCTGTTATGTTAAACTTATATTAAAGTTTATCTTCATTACCCATTCAAGCTGTCTCCAAGCATTATTAGAATAGCAGTATGTCTTACTATTACTCAACATTATTTTGGAACTTTGGATGTAAAAGATGATTGAGTTATTCATATACTACATCAAAAAGTAACATCACATAGCCATGCCCATCATCTGGATATAAACTGTAACATGATATCAATTATCAAATATTTATACTGTGAAACAAAACAATTATTTTTAAAACTTCTCACAAGAAACAATATACAAAATAATAATAATATGCTACAGAACATTATTGAATTAAAAGGTTTAATTGACACATTTTGTTTATAAACAGTTTGTAATGATTTTTAGATTTTTTATGTTTATTATGTTAAGTTGTGTGTCAGAAGTGTACTAGTAAAGTTGTAAAACCCACGTAAAAACTTGTTCTAGGCCAAGATGGCTTTGGTTTCAGCATAACAACAAGGGATAATCCTGCTGGTGGGAACTGTCCCATTTACATTAAAAACATTCTACCTAAAGGTGCTGCAATTCAAGATGGTAGACTGAAACCAGGAGATAGGCTTTTAAAAGTAAGAACCACAGTATGCTTTTACAGGTTGTTTTTAGTTTCTTTTTGGGGGAATTAGAGGTTTATAAAAATGTATCAATCTATTAAGAAACAAATTCTGTGAAAAGATTTAAATGTGAAAATATGGGTACTGCTTCAAAAATAAGAATTTCCTGGAAAGTCACAATGGTTGTTTTGATGATTCTTGGGATTTTCATCATATAGATGATATAAGTACTATAAATATTAATCACATCTGTTTATATATGGGACATAAATTAAGTTACCTGAGATGCTGTGGCTCGTTGCGTGATCTAGAGACTGAAAGAATTTTATCACATATACCTGTGTAATACAAGTAATGTTATCTAAAAAGTTGTAGTCCATTGGCTGAAAGTATGTGGACCATCAGATACTAACCCAATAAAATTACATTTGTCTTTATGCTGTGAAATATGATGCTTTGGGGAAAACTGTGATCAACACTGTGAAAAGGTAAGAGTGGATGAATTAACATCTTATCTATGTGATGAACATGGTGTAATTTGGAAATAAAAGTTCTGGTCCACTTCGGAAAATGTGCTTTTTTTCTGATATAAATAAGTTGTCTAGAAAGTTCATTGTTTGAAGACTTATTCATAAATAAATTAAGAATCAAAACCTCTTTGAAGGTCCTTTGTGAGCATGTTGGTTAGTCTTGTACAATCTTCATTCCAGCTTGTTAAATGTAACATAGGCAGCTATTTTTATAAGTACTCTTTCTTTATATATTTGTTGTTTTTTGATTATTTTTTACTGTATTATTCTTTCAATGGTCTCTACGAATTTACATAGATGTGAAAAGGTAGAGTTCTTCATGAATAGACATTTTACCCTTGAAAGAAGAAGGGTTATGTTCTGAAAATTTTTGAATTACAAGTTTCTTGTTTTAACTTGCTGAGTTAAAGCCATCCTAACTTGTGAGGTAAAGCTTTATGTAGATGATATTTCAAAGACTACCTTAGTGAACTTACAATTTTTTAAGGAGATGAAGGGAGTTAAATTATAGTTCACATTATTATCGGGCAATGAATTTATAAACTTGCACAATATGGAGAGAATGATTGTTAGAATCAAGGCTTGCAATTGGACATAATTTTGGTTTTGATTAAGTTAATGATTAAGTTTTTTTTCGTCCTTCACTTTATAGTTTAAAGTATTGTTTCTTTTTTCACTCTGTCTTGTAGCAAGTTTGGATTGTTTATGAAATTTGCTAATTTCTAAATTAATGTTTGAGATGAGTGTTTAAAATGAGAATTAAAAACAAAATGTAAGAACCAAACCTAGTTATTTTTAAAAAATATGAAAATTCTGTCTTCAAATATTTTAAACAATTTGAAATTAGACAATTCAATGATCATAGGTCCTATGTTTTGACAAGTCTGTTCAAGTGTGAAATAATACCCAATAACATGTGAATTAAGTGGCCTGTAAGAGCATCTTTGAACAAATATAAGTTGGACACTCAACGTACGTTATACTTGTAAAATGAAAATATCTAAAAATATTAAATACATATACAATTTGCAGGTCAATGAAGAAGAAATGACTGGTTTATCGCAGACAGAAGCTGTTGACATTTTGAGAAAGACTCCATTAGGAGGAACTGTGAATTTAATGGTTTCTCGACAAGAAATCAACCCTACTTCCAGTTCTGACTTACCCCAAGAAATGGTCAGTTAACATTCAAAATTCAAACTTTTTTGATCTGTTTCTTGCTTTGTAAACTGTTCATTAGGCTAAATGTGAGGCTTGAAATGTTAGGGGTTTCATGTTTAGCTAGATTTCCTTCAAGTGTCATATTGAGGGAAAGAAACAATAATATATATTTTAAAACTAGATTTTTATTATTATTGATTCATTAGAAACTTGCTGGAGTTATTTTATTTTTTCATTGTTTGGTACATAAGTTCTGTAGTTATGAAGTTTTTTTTTACATGGTACTAGGATATTAGTATATAGTATTATGTACTATAACAGAGTAGAAGATGGTGCTAATATTGCAACTATTTTGTATTTGTTTGACGGAACACCCTCTCGAGCAAGTACTACTGCAGATACTTTCTAACACCCCCCCCCTCCCTCTCTCATAGGTGCTGGTGGTAGTAAGATAGTAAATACTCTGTACTTGTAATTGAACTGCCCAATAGAAGGTGATACTAACATTGGTTGTATTCTGGGTTAAAACATGATCTTAGATTTTTGTAATTCTCCTATTTTTTGTGCAGATTGCATCTCTAATTTGAAAACTGATTTCAGTTAAAGCTTAAGTTGTACAAAAAATTATCATAATTTTGTGTAGTGAATTTAACACATTTGAGGTCTTTGAGCTGTGCCTATTATTGTATTGTTTGAGTTTATAATACTCATTATATCATTTAAATCATCACAAAAAAGTGTAGACAAATGAAAGAGAATGAATTTAGCATAATTCAAAACTATTAGTTACTGGGCCACCTGTTTATCAATAACTTTTTGTTCTAGCTTTAACTACTCTGTTGTACCCAATTGGCTTAAGTCTCTTGAACTAACAACTGCAAGAAATATCATAGAATGAAAGTTTGTAATAACACGATGAAGTATTTTGCTTGTTCATTATGCACATCTGATATGAAGTTTTATGAATGTGGATAGTTTTATGTCAGGACTATGAAATTATCTGAAATTAGTGTTCATTAAAATTTAATTTTGCATTACTTTTCACATATGATTAAACATTTCATTGTACATCCTGTTTTTATTCTTCAGCCACCAGATAAAAATGAAGAGGAATTTGGCATCTATCCTTGGAAGCACAAAGAGATATTGACCTTTGACATTCCATTAAATGACACAGAATTAGCTGGTTTAGGTGTCAGTGTGAAAGGCAAAACCAGTACAACTCGGGATGGTTCTGTAGATTTGGGTATCTTTGTTAAATCCGTTATTCATGGTAGTGCTGCATCTAAGGTGAGCGGAATTTACAAAATTGACCTTATCATAATAAATAATGATAGAGATGTTCATATCTTTGGGAAATTACCCATGAATTAAAATCTTTCTTTGCATCATTTCAGATGCCATTCACTAAAATATACAAAGTTGTCTACACACTTAGTTAAAATTATAAAGCATTTCTTTATTGTCAGTGACTAAAATTTGAACAGAAAAAAAAAACAGAGATATATGTATCATATGTCAAGTATTAGGTTCAAAAACTAGTAAACAGTAATAATGACAGACATTGTAAGAAATCTCAAACAACTGAAACACTTAACTTAATGGTGCAGTTATTCTGCTGATGCCTGCTGTCCATACTGAATATCAATTGGTAGTGTGTTTTGTGGCCAAAAAAACCTGCAGGATACACTGTGTGTTATTAACAGGAGTGATAGTTTAGCGATTTCCCACTTTCTGTAGATCGAACTGTGGTAATCCAAACCATCATATATTTTCATTGGATATGCTCTACTGGAACCTTACCTCACATACCAAATTTCAAGGTAATCCATTAATAAATACACAAGATATAAAATCTCTAATTTTGATTGAATTATTTCCTCCTTCTTTTTTATTTGCAACAAAAGTATGGAAACTTTATTTGATAAAAAAACATACTTAACTTTTATGGATTTTTTCAAATTCGGTACACTGTTAGATCTTTACAACCTACAATTAGGTGTCAAATTTGGTCTAAATATAAGCCATATATACGAAGTTATTCAACAAAAAACCATTCAAATTTGACCAAAATGTTTGCACACACCTACACAAAAAGTCGTGAGTTATCGGTTTGAAATTTTTACCACAGTTTCACCTAATAGTATAAGTGGACTGATTTTAGTTTTTTTATCATTCAAATTAATGATGGCTAATTTAGAGCAGCAAAACTATAGGGGGAAAGGACATGCAGATACATAAGTATTGGTTAGGCCAAGCAAACTAGATTATCAGTTTCTATCTCAAGTTTTCAAAAGAATCATATGGCTGAATGGTCATTATTCATTGCCAACTTTCAAGCACAGATCTCCTAAATTTTATGAAATTCTCCTAATTAAAGAGCATTTAGCATCATATGATATTAGCTTTAGCAATTAATATAAATAATGATGCTTGATACGGTTATACCGAATGCATGCGGGTGATGACAAGAAAATGTTAATCTAGATTCCATGTTGTTCTTATAAAGGCAGTTATTAACAGTGTTTTAGAGAGAAAAACTACCACCATGTATTTTAAAGAATCGGGTTGCTTCTGCGAAGTAAAGGTCTTTTCCAAATAATAGGGCTGTGATCCTAAAGCTAATGTGGGTTACTATAGTGTTGCTTTCTTACTTGCTCTGGTTTGTTAGTGTGTATTGACAAAAAGTCATGATATCTAGTCAAATAGACTTCAGGTGTGAAAAAAGGGTACACCCAAAATAGGATTGAGCGTGTGACTTAAAGGAATGAAATCAAAATTGGTGGCCAAACTAGTAACTACACTTATAGTATTGGTAAGAATTTTACAGCAAATATTCATTCAATGGTTAGCCAGACCGTGTTTTTTGTTCAACTTCGGCATGATGGTGGGTAAAATAAAATATGTGGCCGAACTAACTAATGAATGAATATTTCCTGTAAAATTGTTATCAGTGCTAT